CCAGCGGACGGTAGCCCATATTCTCGTGTCTCACTGTCGGTTTCTTGGAGAGTTCATCTCTTAAGGAGACCAAGCCACACCGACTTTCCCTGGACATCTTCCAGTTTAGTGCAGAAAAAAAATTATAAAGAGAAAAAGAAGTGAGACACACACACAAAGAGAGAGAGAGAGAGAGAGAGAGAGAAAGAGAGAGAGAGAGAGAGAGAGAGAGAGAGAGAGAGAGAGAGAGAGAGAGAGAGAGAGAGAGAAGAAAAAATGACAGAATGACAGAGACGAAGACTCACAGAGGGAGAAGAGAATAGAAGGAGAGAAAGAGAACGAAAGAAAGAAACACAGGCAGACAGGAAAGCAGACAGACAAATATAATCTGCATACTCACCGGGTCTGTGCTGAGCTCCTGTGCCGCCTCAAAGACAACTTCGAGCAATCTATTCCTTGAAGGTTCGGTGTGTTGCAAGGAGTCAAGGACATCAGGCAGATCTATAGGCTCCTAGAGAGAGAAAAAAGAAATTCATCAGGTCCAAAATAAGAGAGAATTGATGCATCGGAAACTTCGCTTGATATCTATTTCTCATGATCTTCAGCTTGTCTGAAATCACACCTTAAAGAATATACCCTTTCAGAATATTCTCCCTAGTGACGTAAAGTAAGTTTAGTCCGAGCAGTGCGGTCCTATTGATAATAAAATATGATTGTACATGAATAAGCCACACGTGTTAGCTGTTGTATTGATAAAGCTCAAACATACATTCCTGCATTTACTGAATATTGGATATCTTCGTGATACAAGGCGATGCTCGTACTAAAGACCTACTTTTCAAAAAATATCATCCATTTTGCACCATTTATGAGTCATTTATTCCCGCACTGATGAGATCGGAAGAAGGGTACCATGATCCTTCTCAATACACCAAACGACACGGTACATAATTGTATTAATCAGTATACTTAAATGCCAAACAAATGTCCAGTCAAAACAGTACCCGTGAAATCTTTCTTCTATTCAGCCTGACCCCTTCGAGAGCCACCAACAAGGGTTACCATCATTACCGATAATGATACGAATGCGACGCTAGACCCAAAGATTACCTGTATATCATGTTGTGAGAATTTCCATAAAATTATAATTCAATTAAGAGATTTGCAAAATTTGACTTCAGTACAGACATTATTATGGTAAATATAATATGCTACAGACATCTTAAACCGAAGTCTAGGCTAAATCATCGCATTCGCACGGTTTGGTAACTAGCTACCAACCTGGAAGAACTTGGACACAACGACCACATCGTCCGATTCGCTGTTGTAATGGACGAGCTGCACCTCCAAGGGGAAACTCAGACCCCCAAGGTGATGATCTGACCCCCAGCGGAAGAGCATGTGATTCAGGTGATAAGGAGTTGTTAAGTGACCCCCTGAGAGCTCCCACTGGGGTTCCTCACCTGGGAAAGCCACCTGGAAGTAGCCACAGGGTTAGATGTTAACAATGAACAGGATGAGTTATTGGTGTAGCTTCAGTGGTTTTAGGATTGTTATGTTAAGTATGGCTGTAATGTGATGCTCTTGTTATCAGCGCCGCAATATCGGCGGATAATAATTTGCATTTAACGAGAAATTGCTATCATCCTAAAGGAAAATGGAAAGAGATGTAATTGATGAAAAATATTCTAACACCCCAATGCCAATCGATGCTACATATACGAAATATATATACGTGTATAAAGATACACACACACACACACACACACACATATCTCTCTCTATATATATATGTGTGTGTGTGAGTGTGAGTGTATGTATGTATGTATATATATATATATATATATATATATATATATATATATATATATATATATATATATATATATATATACCCCATGAAAATAAAATTCTCTTTCATCCCAAACAAAAAAGCGCAATGCAAAGACATGCCTTCAAAAGCCTATCCTTCAGCGTGACCACCGCGTCCGCACAGCCACCTCTCCTTCTCCAGCGAAGTCGTTTCGCGTAAGTGGGCGTGGCATTCGCCAAGTGGAGGTCGGCGGGTGACGTCTCCTGGCCCTCCGTACACTGCCCGGGTGCCACAGTGCCAAAGGATCCCAAGCTCGGGATGGTGGTGCAGGAAGGGGGGAGGGATTTCCGTGGGTTTGTGCAGCTGGGATGTTTCTTGAGTTTGGTGCCGCTGTGGGAAGAAGTTCATGCTTTAGTTTATTGTTCTTCGGAAAACTAGTTGGTTATACTTGCATTGGTGTAGTTTGGGTGATAATAAATAAAAAGTATACATGACGCGTTCGCTTGACAAAAAAAATGTATTTATTTTCCTCAAAGACAATGACAGGGGGCACAACCACTAAAGAAATTCATGGTAGACTATGTATATATATACATTTATATTCACACGCATGGCAAGTATAGTACACGAAGCACAGAAACGTCACATTTATCCTCCAATGATCTCATCGACACGAACACACGAAACACTCGACCTACAGATATTTCA